TTTATTAGTCCTGCCTTTGGAGCCTAAGTCTTCATACCCTTCAACTAGGTCTAAATATTTATTGTATTCGAGAACATTTTTTATTTTCATCTCGTCAAAGACTAAAGTACAGTATTTTTCTTGACTACTCATAGAATCAACTTTAGTTTTCAACTGCTTAAACAAGGCAGTGTTAAGACCAGGTAGACATTTGATATTCCCTATTCAACGCTTAATAGAAGTGAGACAAGGTAAATTAATTTGTTTTGAAAAATATAAAAACTTATATGCTGAAAGAGATTTATAAAAAATACTCAGAGCCAAGTGTTTTTCTTTTTGAGACCATGATTTTGTACTTGACTTTTTACGTACTATTTGCATTTTGACCAACGTTTTTGCATTTTAAGATGGAAATTTTAATAAATTAATGAAGTCTACAGACTTATTATGTTTGTTTTGTAATTTTAAAGATATCAGATTTTTTTTTAGTAAAAATATTACGACTCTTTTTGACATCAAAAGCCTTTTTTGATGAGCAATGACTTTTTAAGCTTATTTATAATATTAGAATTACCAGTCGACACAGAAAATAATTTTGTTGGTTGTATGGAAGATGGAAAATCAATCATTTTGTGCATTATAGATCTAGTTCTTGGTGTAATATCTGGAGTACTGGCAATCAAAGATGAAGACTGTAATTCATGAGATTTAATAGGTGTTAATACATGAATGGTTTCTTGAGGGCTGAGTGACATTGCTAACGGAGAATTTATTTTTTACGGTGAACAATTTGTTGGTGATGATAGTTTTCTTTTTGTAACAACAACACATGGACTTAATGGAGGAAAAATTTGTTTATTTTTGTACGTTGTTTTTGGTAAAGTAACGCGTAAAATGTCATCTTCAACTGCAGTGAACAATTGAGGTATTGAAGATCTTTTTAAACTTTGTTTATTAGAACTTGTGAAATCGTTTTCTACAAAATGATGCTCACAAATTCACTTTTTGTATAAATCTGCTTCATCAAGGTGTAATAAATCAGTATTCCCTAAAAAATTAAATAAATATTTATAACCTTCAACTATAGTAATGTAGAAAAATCATAATTTATTTTTTCATTTGTACAATACATGTATTATACTTGTATTTTATATTAAACCAACAGTTATGTTATATAGGTTTTGACCAAAGTCAGAAGTATAAAGTATGAAAAATCAAATTAAAAATGTAATAGTATAGGTATAACAATATAAGCTTAGGCCTGTATGCATAGGAAAATATGCATGTTTCACATGTTAAACACTATGCCTTATATGACACATAAATTGACTATACATACTATGGACATTAGTATTAGGTATATGATAAAAAAACCAAAAAAAACTGATATAGGTAGGTGGGAATTCATACAATTCCACTTTAAAATAACAAGACAAAATTAATTCCATAAAAATCTACCATACCTAATCGAGTTTTCCTATTATTTAAGCAAATTTTAAAATTGTAATTACTAATAATTAGGGGAAAAATATTCTTACCGCAGTTTAAGATCCATTGTCTTGATGAACTTACGTCTTTCGGAAAACGGTAGAGTTTAAGACCCAACTCAGAACGAGCACTTTTACCGCAGTTCACGTATGAGCACTTAGTACCACAAGCACGGGACATTTTAAAATGTAATATTATTATATTATTATTATATTAAACACGGACAATTAAAAATATAATAATAAATAACGTTGCAAATTTAAATTCAAATTCGGCAAAACCCACAACGATAGTGATAACAATTGAAACAGATAGCTATTTGGTCTTGGTAAGACAAAACATTTTCATTGCGGAACAAACTACAAATAGCGTAACCATAACGCTACCTATTGGCCTGGCTCCCGCACTACTACATTTCTGGCTCCCATTTCACTTTATAAAGCGTTAACGATTTTTCCTATCACTTGGTCTATCTATATATATTTAATCAATGGTAATACACGTAGAGTTAGGTGTAACACATAAGAAAACAAATAAATTGCTAAATAATAAAACCAAATCAAAGATGAATTTCAATAAATATACGGCGATGATTCCAGTTTGCACGGGAGAAAACAATGTAGCGACATTTATAAACACATGTGATATCGCTGTTAAATCAGTAGAAAAAGATAAACTAGAGTTATTAATAAAAATAATAAATTCCAAATTAGCTGGAAATGCACTCCGAGCTTGTAAATTTTGCGAAACAAACACATGGGAAAATATAAAATCAATTCTAAAGGGAGCCTTTGAATATAAAGCGTCAGAGCGGACATTGACATTAGGACTACATATGCGATATTATTAACCTCGCCGGGGGAATCCCGGAACGAACACGGCACTGTCACGTCACTGCTGTGTGTGAATAGACCTTTATTGATCACCGGGAAAGATGACAAGAATCATTACGCTTATATTTCTAATTTTTCAGCCCGCAAAAAAATAATCACGAGCATCAATTATTTTTTTGCAAACGATGTTTCACCAGCTTCGAGAACCAACCTTTAAAATATAAATTAGTAATTACACGGCGAACGCGAGTTGGCGAATCATCGCTTGACATGCGGCGCACACAGACCCGTATTGCCTCTGATGCCGGAAGAGGGGGATAAGCTCGAATTCAAGGTGTGGTGTAAGACGGATCGACTCCCGTTCGCATATAATCATTCTGGGGTCGGTCTCGGCACCGGTTATCATTTTAGCCTTCTGATTGGTCGTTTCTACTATCTATATAAAAATCTAATTTTCTTATCATATTATTACATATATTATTATAAGAAAATAATCTAATAATCTTATATTAATATTATTCATATTATATTATATTATATTATATTATATTATATTGATCTAACTCCAAATAACTTATTACAAATGCCTTTATTTTCTTGTCAAATTACCTTAATCGAAGTTTTTAATGCTTTAAATAATCTTGGTTCAAAGTGTAATCCTGGGCCTGATTTAATAGCTAGTCAGTTCTATCAACAATGTAAATATGTTCTCTCTCCCCCTCTGGTTTATATTTTTAACTTATCTTTAACTAGTGGTATTTTTCCAGACATATGGAAAACTACTATTATCCGTCCTATTGCTAAAACTGCAAATGACTTAGCTGATATATCAAATTACAGGCCTATCTCTTAACTTTCAATAGCACCAAAAGTATTTGAATCTATTGTGTCGGATAAGATAACTCCTAAACTAGACAAAATTATTGTTAATGACCAACACGGTTTTAGATCGTCTAAATCTACTAACTTAATAACTCTACAACATTCCTTATTAGATGCTTTTTCAGCTGGATCGCGTATGGACTTAATCTATACGGACTTTGCTAAGGCTTTCGATAAGGTTAATCATTTTATTATTTTACATAAATTAAATTGTGTTGGTGTATGTGGACCTCTTTTACGGTGGATTGAATCTTATATTTCACAGCGCACTCAAATTGTTGTTTATAAAGTATTTTGGTCAAAACCAATATTAGTGTCATCAGGTGTACCTCAAGGTTCTCACTTAGCCCCTATTCTATTTTTAATATATATTAATGATATTACTTTTCTAAATAGTTCTAAGCTCATATTTTCTGATGATATCAAACTTTACCGAGTTGTAAATTGTTCTAAGGATGCAGCATTATTGCAATCAGATTTAAATCTACTTTTTAATTGGTGTAAAATTAATTATATTTCGCTTAATATTAATAAATGTCAATTAATGACTTTCTCTCGTTTACGTTCCAATACTTTTTTTGACTATAATATCAATGGTTGTAACGGAACAAACATACACTACTAAAACGACCATTATCATGGCCAACACATATCACTATATCACTATAGGGAGGGAAACACGAGACCGTAGAGAAAGAGATTTATATTTTGCCGATGGAAAACGACACTATGACAACCAAGCAACCATCGGAACGAGGACAGTTTGACTTGCCTAACCATGGGTCGGCCAGCCAATCAGGAACCGGAATACATTGGGGAACGGGTATATTTACGGGTGCGTTTCCCAATAAACTTCACTTCTTTCAAAACCTTCAGACCTTCAACATTTCTAACCAGAACAAACTCGAAGGACCTGAAGCCGCACCAGCCAACGACGATCGGAGAACTGACCACGGTGAAGACGAGCTACCAAGCGCTCCCGCAGCCCCGACGTCCACGAGCCACTACGCTCCGTAAGACGACAAGTGGAAACGAGCAACCAAGCGCTCTTGCATCATTACCACAACGACGATCTACGAATAGTCCGCGGCGAGCGCAGACATCAAGCCCTCTCACGGCATCGACCGCAAAATTGTCGAACATGCCGATTTCACCAGCAACGGAGTGAGGGTTGCCTATATTATACGACCAACGGCGCCTAGTATTGTTCGACACCACTCAGGGCTAATCGACTAATCATGCAACGTCGTACCCACCGTCATTTATAAATGATATTCTTAAAGTATGATTTTGTTAAATTTTATTTTTATATTAGGTTTGTAAAAAATATTAATACAATTATGACTTATGACTATATATACTTTTAGTTTAAATTACTAATAACTGTTTGTAAAATGTGTTAAATAATTAAAATGATCATTCCAACAACAATGTCAATACTTACTCCATTTTCTGAAAAGGAAGATTAGTTGTGGTCTTGTGGATATAGAAGCCAACTGATGGCAGAATACATTGTATAAACTATATAGGTATATAATTATTATTTATTAAACTATTATGTTGAATTATACATATACATTTATTTATGATACATATCAAATAGGTATCAAACTAAAAAGAAAAAAAACAATACTATATATAAATTTGTTAACATTTGAAAATTAAAACATCATAAGGATAAACAATTTTGATATTTAATATAATAACATAAATATTTACCTTTAGTCTGTTTAAAATACAATTTTATATCTAAAATACATAAATAATTATAAAGAAAAAAATTACCAGTTTAAAATACAATTTTTGTTTTTTATGAACCTATTGCATATTTCTACAACACAATAATTTTTCAAATGTTTTATCACCAAGGCGATTACGCCTTGAAGTTAAAACTTGTACTGCACCACTAAACAGTCTCTCTACTGGTGCAGACGAAGGAAGAGTTGTGTTGTACTTAATAAATATTTTCTTAATTATTGGATAATTATTCAACATATCTAATTATTTTTTTTTTGAATTCAAAAACTTTATTAACTGTACTTGTACATTTGATTCATTTTCTTGACTTAAGTCAATTTCATCACTATGACATTCAGAAGAGTCATTTATTGCATCATGTGAGTATAAATTATCATAAAACTCTTTATCACTCGTACAATCACTTTCTTCATTTGCAGAGTCTGGCTGTATAATAGTTAAAGTGGACATAGAATTACATTCTTCAATAAATATTTTCTTGCATAAATCTTTGTATCGAACAGGCACCCAATCCAATTTGAATTTTGGATGGCTAATTGAAGCAATTATAAAATCTTTGCTTTTTGGATCATTTAGATAAAATAAAAAATTAAATCTCTTCTCTAGAGAATTTATAATTGTACGACTCAAAGGTTTACAGTATATTAACTGTTCAGATTGATTCAGTATCAATAACTTTCTTAACACTTATATAGTGGGAGCAGTGGCGAATTTAAGGGGGGGGGGGCCGAAGGGCCAGCCCCCCCCCCCCCATTGGCATAAGTTAGGTTTTATTATTTTTTATTAGTAATTTTTATAATTTTATCTTTTATATTGTTTCGCTCAAACACATTATATTATAATTTAAGAAATATTATCATTACATATATTTTATATTATTACTAGCTGACCCGGCAAACGTTGTTTTGCCATATAAATAATTTCCTAGTAATTTCTAGTGTAGACAAAAAATAGCTTACTTATTGTAAGTATGTATGTATGTTAGAATGTGTATATTGTATGTATGTAAGAATGTGGTATATGCGTGAAATAAGCATGGAGCGCTGTGAACGATGAGGGAATATAAAAATAACAAAAGGCAAACATTATTTTTAAGTTATATTATAATTTATTCCTTTAAATTATATATCATTAATTAAACAATTACGACAGTAACACTATTAAACAATATCAATCTCTTAATGCTATAGCGTGAACAATATTTTTTGTTAGTCCATCTTTAGCTAACACAAACAAACTGGATGGTTTACCCACTCGAGAGCATGCCACGTATAATTGTCCGTGTGAAAAACATGGTGTTCTCAAATCTAATCCACAAACAGACATCGTTTGACCTTGGGACTTGTTGATAGTCATTGCAAATGCCAATCTAATCGGAAACTGAATACGTTTGAATTGAATTGGCACATCTGTAGGTATAATAGGAATCCGTGGTATGAGTATATTTTCTCTTCAAATTACTAAAATGGCTATTAAAAAATAAGGGTTGATCGTAGAAGGGTGAAAATTGAGGATTGTATGTATTTTTGTATGTTGTATCATAAAAAAATAGAAATTAAAAATTTTGTCTAAAAAATAAAAAAAAAA